TCCGAGAAGGAAACACAAAAAAACTCTTTTGTGAAGAAAGCCTAATGTACATCCCATGTTCATGCTTTTTAAGAGGGATGAAAGGCTTTTCCTCCTCAAAAGAATGCCACAATAATGAATGTTAAGGCACTGGTCTTAAACACAGACCAGTGGCCTTGTGCCTCTGTGCATTTGCTTATTACTTCAGTCTGGTACAACTATTTTGATTCAAGGGGACCACATTAGCAACAGAGGAGAAAAAAAATCATGTATGAAAACAGCAGCTCTTTTCAGCACAGGCTCTGAAATCCATGCATACTTTTATTGCAGGATGCTGTATGTATCATTGCTATTGTTACCCTATGTTGCTGACAAAAACTGAAGCACAGAAAGCCTAAACATGGGATTTTCTGAAGCACAGCATCGACTTAACACCCAATGGTAAAATTCACCATGATTTCAGTGAGATATTCACAAGCACCTAGCATTGGTTTATCTCCCCCTCTTAAGAAGGCACTGATTAGAAATTTAAAGATTGTGGAAACACCAGTGAAAATATGCATTGTTAAACTTTAAATATCTTATACAAAAGGTTATATATTTTTTAGTTCTAGATCTTTTTGGGGAAAGGATGATAGGATTTCAGTAGATTTTTTCAAGGGAGGATATATTGATAACTTATACAGAGATATTATGATAGATAGTTTCAGTAATAGTCCTCTTAATTTTCAACCTATACTCTTCCTTGCTTTTTTTTTTTTTAAACTGTTGCTGCTCATTGAGAAGAGCTATTTTCCACCCCATAAGAGCACCTAACCAATAGAGGAGACAGGGTCTAATTTTCAAAAGTAACCTAGAGTCCACGAGGCATTAACATTTCTAGCCTGCTTAAGCACTTTTTTTCCATAAGCCAACCTGGTCTTTACTTGCATCTCTAGACTAAAGTACCTTAGAAAAACTGGAGCCTAGGAGATTAAGTCCTACTGAATTTCAAGAAGCCTGGGGTTCATAATTTCAAAATCCTAGATCTGCTCATGGGCAGGTAAAGGGGGTTGGCAGATGATGTGGTACATCATTGCATATAACACATTTTTCTCCAGGTAAAAAGAAACTAGCAATTTTACTAATATGCTAAGGGCCTGGGGGTATATTATTCAACTTAAGATCAAAGCAGAAACTAATATAACTTTACTGAATTATGTGATTTGCTATATTGTACATCTTGTATTAAAACACTACACACTAGGCAAAAGCAATTACAAAAAGTATTGTTTCTTTAGTCTTGTACTCATTAGAACTAAATCATGTACACCCCTCAGATTCATAAAACAAAAATCAAGCCATATGGAGCATCTTTATAGTCCATCCAATACTTTACTGAAAGATATTTCCACACCTGAGTTAATGTTTTAGTTAGACTTAAAAACAGTCTGTAGGGCTGTGAAATAGGTGCTATATTCCTAGGAGGAACTAAGAGGCAGCAGAATTGCAGAGGAAAGAATAGCTAGATTAGTGGAACATTATTACCTTCAAAAAAGGAGAGGGTCATTCACACCTGTGGAATGAAGAGTTTGCAGGAATCAGGTAGATTGTAATGATCTATAAAGTCAAGCAACTCCCTCGCTGCTGCTCGAATAGAAATGCTACTACCACTGCCAAACAGTGGGCACGTCTACACATTGACGAAAGGAAGTAATAAAACATGGCTCCGTAGCAACATCACCATACAGCAGCGTGTAGACATGCCCGCTGTCTGGCAGTAGTAGCAGCATTTCTATTCAGGCAGCAGCGAGGGAGTCGTTTGACTTCATGGATCATTACAATCTACCCAGTTCCTGCAAACTCTTTGTTCCACTGGTGTTGCTGACCCTCTCCTAAAGCACAATGCAGAATGGGTGGTTACTGCACTGTGCATGTGGCACATGGGTAAATGTTGCTGCTACATCACTGTAGCATTGCACTATACCCAGGGAGCATGCCACTATAGTGGCATAGCTGGCAATCATGTGTGGATTCACTTGATAGCTATGTTGCTGTAGTGCACCATACAGTGACATGTAGATGCTCCCAGTTTGTTTTAAACTTTGGGCAAACCAGGAATGAAGGGGGGGTGGGGGAGGTGAAACTGTACCACTGGACTCAAATGAGGCTCAGGTTCTTGTGTTGCTTATACCATTAAGACACTTTCCTCTTCAGTCTTTTCCTTGAGTGATTACAATTAATTTAAAATCCAGCAATTCTGGCTCAAGTTAGTAGCCCAGATTGTTCCTGGTAACATATTTCACTTTCATTTTATACATCCATCTCAACCATAGCTAGTCAGGATTTTGGTTTTAAGTTTTAATTAAGAAAACATCTATTGAAAATAGACTTTTAATTGGTTTTGACACATTTTTCAACTTTAAAAAAAATTGAGAACTTTTTAATGTCTAAATATTTTGCTCAACATTATGTAAAAAGAAAAAATAATACAGTTTTCCAGCTTAAAATGTAAGCTAGTAATCCAACAGAGAGAGTAAAAAAGTCAAAACAAGTTTCAAAATGATCAAAACTTAATATTTTGATTGAGCCAGAATGATTTCCCCCAGATGTTCAGTTCACAAGTTTTATGAGATTGTAAAATGTTCTTATCTTTGGCTTTTCATTGCAGTTAATCACAAAAATTCTTTGCAGAATAAGAAACCCCTTCTATCTAATAAGAATTAGAGTTCTATCCATCACTAATTCTTATTCACAAGAAAACTTTTACCTCTCACTTGTGCTTGCTTGGTTTCTTCAATTTCTTTCCGCACAGAAATTACCCAAGGCATCAGAAACATCCAGTCATAGAAGAGAGACAATTAATATTCTATCTACTGTATTAGTGATGCACTCAACACCACAAAGGCTTGATTTTTCCTTTGTAGATTTTCCGGTCATCTTTCTCATACAATATTCTCCAAAATGTTTCATAGTTCCATTTTTGAGGACTTTCATAAGGATTGTATCACCTACTTTTCACGCTGCTAATAACTAATTTTGCTGTAAGTCTAGGGGAAATATTTAGGTATCTTTTTAACAATGCAAAAAGGTTTTTTTTTGGGGGGGGGGGGTTAAACCATCCCATAAATCAAGAGTGACTGGAGGGATTTTGCTCAAAGTTTCCAAAAAAAAATCACCTCTGGGCAGAAGCCAAGCCTGAAGAATTTCAGCCTAAAAAGAGAATGTTTCAGAAGTTATGAGCTTGTGAAAACAGGGGTTATTATGGAAATTGTTTTTTACTACCATAATAATAACACCACGAACAGTGTCTGCTGCAATATATAATATTATCAAGCTCTTGTCAGCATTTAATAGATCTCTTAATTAACTGCTGCAGAGCAACGTGGCAACATTTTATTTTTAAGAAAACTTTTGGGAGTTGCAGATTTTTAAAGCATTTTTAAAAATTCGTCTCTCTGAGAACCTTAGTAAAGTTCACAGAATAGACTAAATACAAGACACAAGTGTGTATCTTGTTGGCATTGCTTAATGAGAGCATTTCTTTTCTGTTAAACTACATAATCCAGAAACAACAATAATGTTTGGGTTGGCTATAAGCCAGACATTTTGAATCTGAATTTAACTCTCCCAATCTTGGGTGCTATTTAGAACCACAACTTGGTTCAGCTTATTATAAAGCTGGTATCTGCAAAACATGGACCTGGACTCATGTTTGACTTTTGAACCTTCACCCACCATCCCTAAGTTTCATGGTTTGTGACTGGTTTCCATCTTCAAGATAACGGTTTACAGTCAGATAATGTTCTGCTGCCTCCCAACCTTGGGGTGCAGAGGAGCCATGCTTAATACAGAGGAGCATGTGCAGGCCCAGAGGAGGGTCAAAAAGCTATGAAGTAAAGGCAAGAGTGGGTGGTGTTCCACCTTAGCACCTCTGATCCTGAAGCTTGCCGGGGACTGAATGGTCTCTTAGTGCAACTTAGAGTGACCTCAAGGCTACTCTAGGCTTTGCCTAGTGGTCTCAAAAGGGCCACTGCGATAACAGAACAGAGCACTGCAGGATCCTGACCCCACTCTTCTCACTAAAAGGACACCTCCCTTGTGTGATATAGGACTGGACTGGCTATATTAGCTCCATGCCAATGCAGGAGTCCCTTACATCTGGGGAAACCCAGCTGGGAACTATGCCATTTAAGTTTGCTTTTCAGGGCCAGTGACATCAAAGCAGACTTAATGGGGAAGAGGATATGCCTCCCACATTTTCCAAGGATCTGTTCTATGAAGAAATTATACCAGTTGTAGGGATAGCATGAAGATTGCCGTTCTTTTTAGTACCTTTATATCACCCACACTGAGGACACTACAGAGTGGGCATACTGCTAAAGAGAGGGGAGAAAGGGGTTTTCAATATCCTTTTAGTCTCAGCCGGAAATGGATTATGTCCTGAGCCAGGGAGTCAGAGATAAGGATTTTGCTGCAGCATTACAGAAAGGGGGCATAAAAGTACTCAAGGCAAATAGATACATCCCAGCTACTCTCTTACACTACCAAGCATATGCTAGGTAATATTATATAACAGTAGCATTTAAAAGCCCCACTGCGCTAGGAGCTGTACAGGCACACAGAAAGAAACAACTGCTGACCTGCAGAATTTGCAGTCTAAATAGGTAGGGCAGACACAGGAGAAACAGAAGCACAGGGAGATTAAATGATTTACCCAGGTCACTCAATTTCTCAAGTCCAATATCCAACTCATCAGACCATAGTTTCCTTTTGCCAGAAGGCTGAAATCTCTCTCCAGGTACAGGAAATGCCCATGGATTCAGCAATAATGAGCACCAGGAAACATGCAGAGACACCAGGCCAGGAGATGTAGTGCTTGGGTAGTTCCTGCATGTGAGTTCAGATGATTAGACAACTAAGTCATTCTGTAATGAATTACTGCTTGTTTCCATCTGGCAGCTTGTAGTGGTAAATCATGTCATAATTTAAAAGTCAGGACTGGTTACACTTTAATTACTTCATGGTTGTCAGGTACTTACTTGGACAGCAAAAGCTTCAGTAGTATTACTACTCAGCTAATATAGCACTGACAATTCCTCAGATAAACTCTTATTCTGAAATAACCTGTCTGCTCTGTTCCACTTCCTACAGCTGCATCATTACCCTGGTTAAGGGCATGAGTGACAGGTGTAGTAGCTTGCTTTTCTACGCCCCTTCTCTGCTACAGAAATGACACAAATCCTCCCAGCACTGCAACCTTGTTGAGCATTTATACATCCCTTTGATAATGCTGATTGCTGAACAGCTGCTCTCCCTCTTCAAAGATTAGTTTGTTTTCCTAACACAATTACTGCCACCTGGCTCTGTTTTCTACAAGGATCAAGTCTGAATAGAGATAAAGAGCTGATAAGATCTAACACTGCTACCAAACACTTACCAGCTTTTTTTTTGGTTTGGCTAGTATGATACCTCTGCTATGCATATTGCTTCCTTCCCCCAGACTTATGTCATTCCAGCAGCAATTTACCTGCTATGTTCAGTGCTAAAGAGAAAGGCTAAATCTGTGGCTGAACTTGTGGACCACACCTCAGGTGAGGTGGATGACTCTACTGTAGTTTTCCTGTGTACTTTAGCCATGTCACTTAATCTCTCTGCATCTCATTTGTCCAGCTGATAAAAGAAAAGGAGCAATAACTTAAATTTCTGCAGAAAAAAACTCACTTCACAGAATAAGGTTCTATCTTTGTGTGGGGTACTGTGGCTGTGCCTACAAAGCAAAACCAAGGGGCAATTGTAGCATATGTTAGTACCTCTTCATTAGCTGAGTCTAGCTGGCATAGGTTAAAACAGCACTGAAGATGCAGGGACATAGGTGTCCGCATCTACTAGTAACCAGATAAAGAAAAATTTGCATTAAGGTTTTTAGTCCATACAAAAACCTGTATCACTATATCTTCATGGTAGCTGATACCGTAGCTAGATAGAAGTGCATTACGATAAGTTTTTCCTTTGTTTTGTAGCATAGCTTTATACAGCTGTCTGTACACGACTTAACACAATCAGGTTCTGAGCTTGGTTGGGACTTCTGGGAGCTACTATAATAAAAATAATAAATAGATCTGATATGTAAAATGAATGCTAAAGGCAGGCCTTGCATTCAGCAAAGATCCATTCTTGCATTCCAGATCTGGAGATAACTGAATAGGAAACCATTCCTGAACAATTACTCCAGAGTGGTATGTAAGAAATAAGGCATACAGGGAAAAGACATTTGGGAGGAATCTATCTGTTTCCAGATAGTCCAGCATCCTTGCCAGATGCATCTCATAAAGCTGCTAGTACTTTATTTTAATTACAAGCCTTAATGTATTAATTGAAGGCTATCAATGACCTGAGATGCATTTCCCTCTCCTATTGTAACAGACTGTGGGAATCTGGAAACCACTGCATTGCAGTTAGTAACTTTAATTGTACAAGACCTAAAATAGACAACTGAAAAAACAAACAAACTCACTGTTTCCAATCAAGAAAGGATTTTCTGTTAATTCTTTTGCCACTGGCATTCTTCTTTAGTGAGCAGTTTCAATAGATCCTCAAACACGGGGCTGAGAAGGTTATGATGAACTGTATCTGTATCTCTTTCACCGGGCCAGAGAAAGTGTGTCAAATCATTCCTTATTGACAGATGCTAGTTGGAAAGAAAGGACTAAGCCTAAATATTAGTGACTTAATTAAAGTCATGAATTGATGGGCACATAAATGGTGGATCACAATTAATATATGTTGCCCATACACAAGTGTGCTTTATCAACTGTGAGAAATGGACAGATAGATAGCTACTCGCTCACCTAATTTTTTTCAACGTGCCCTTACAATTGTTTCCAACTGGTCAATTCTTCCAGAATCTTCTCCCCTAGCCATGATGGCACAAAGAAAATGTATATCTGGAAAATGTAGTGGGGAGACTTTAATTGGGGTTTCTGTGTTATGCACCTTTACATAGGAAGAGACCTGCGTCCTGGCTTAACTCCTAAGAAGATCAAGGTATTTCTGCTGAAGGGCAGTTCTCGCAATCACTACAATAGCCCTGCCTTCTGTGGTTCTTTCATGGTGATTTATATTTCTTCTTTTATTGAGTTCATATTGAATAAAAGCCATCTAGGATGAAATGAAATGTACATTTTGTAGATCTGGTTAGAAAACAGTTCTTTCTCCTATGGAAATTTTTTTTCTTGAAGTTTTCAGCAGCAATTTCAAAAACATATATATATAAAAAAGAAAACCCCAAAAACCAAAAATATTCAACTGAAAACAGATGGAAAAAGATTTTTGGCTGAAAAAAAAAATTGACCAAAGATTGCTGAAATCTGAACCTGGTGTTCAGAAAAAAATTAAAACTTTTTTTTCAGTTGACATTTTTTAGTTTTGAAACTTGAACATTTTGAAACAGAAACTGTCCATAAAAATATTCATCTAATAAAAACATTTTGTGGAAAAATGAAGTGTCAATGGAATTTTTTTGACCAGCACCAAAGCTTTGTTCTTTGCATATGGAAAAAGCAGTGCATCTGACTTGTGTCTCACATCTTGTAGAACCTGCTCTCACATCCCTGTCAGACACATGATGCTAAAATGGCAATTTCTCCCAGCATAAGCTGAACTTTTATTAAAAACACTTCACTTCTGTTTTCCTTACTTAAGTGTAATTATGCTACATTTCCCTCACGTCCTTGTTGCGATAAGGTACTTAGCAGAAGTCACAGGCTTGTTGGAATCTGATGGGACAATACCATGAGTGCTTCTGCTATGGCCTCAAACTTGTGATCTCCAGGCTGTCAACTGTGTACCTTTGTACATGTGCCATCCTAGCCCCATGCCAGCCTTTACCATTCATTACTAGAGGAGGTTACGTAAGTAGGTTTATATTACGAAAACTTGTGGTTGGCATTGCATACCAAACCCAAAGCCTAGTATAATAGAAATATTATAAAACCCTTTGAAATAAAAACTCAACATTTCTTTCTCAGTTCTTCATCTAAAAAGTCAAGGTGGAACATGAGGAGAGCATTTGGGTAACACCTGCCAAAATGTGCAGGTGTTAGATTAGCCAAGGGACTTAGACTACATTGAGTCACCAGAATTCTCAGCATGTTAATTAATATTCCATAAAGCAAAAGGATTCACATGTTGTATTTTAGGCAACAGGATCCAAAATGCAGTCATTGATTCATTCTAAGCTCTTCCACTCAAAACATCACAAAAGATAGACATGGCACTCTAGCCTGTGTCTTCTACATGCATATTATTTAACTACTCGCCTTAAATATCAGGACAATAAAGTAGGGAAAAATGTGTTTTACATGGAGAGGAGAAATATACTGTGACCCAAAGAAGTTTTAATAAAAGTGCAACCTCAATGTGATTCAAACTGACTCTCTTTGGAATGAGGAATACATTTAGTCTCTGGCCTGTCCTGTAAATAATTTACAGGTAATGTTAGCTCATGTGGTTCCTTAAATTCACTAAAAATTTTATTGAGGATGACAAGAAAATAATTATAACTAAAAAATAGGCAATATCCTCAGCCAGAGTAAATCAGCAAAGCTCTGCTGCCTTCACTGAAGTCATACTGCTTTATATTATCAGAGGATCTGACCCATAGACCATCAATTGAAAAACAGTTGGTTGATTAAGATCTATTTATGTTCAAAACTTAATTCAAATCAACCCTAATGAGTCATCTGATTTGCTTTTTCAGCCAAATAGATAAAAATGAAAAATGAGTTTCGTATGTTTTGACTATCTATTTCTCCATAAACAAGGTGGTTAGTTATACTGCGGTTTTGCATGCTGTCAGAATGATTTGTTCCGTGTCAAAGCCATAAAACAAAAATTGTTCTAACCCCAATTCATGGAAGTATCTCTATTCAGGAAAACATGTAAGCATGTGTTTAAATCCCATTGAAGAAGGGCAGAATCCTATTTCACTTTGTGTGTTCAAATGGCATTCACTTAGCCATGTAACTGGCAGCTTGCCACTTATGCACAGTTTGCAACACTGCTTCATGTATAACATGAAGCCATAAATGTCCATATGGTTACTGAGCCTGTGGAGTAGGCAGCACACTGGCTGAACAGGTCATGTCTCTGCATGTGTACACCTGTCTTGGGCAAGCGTAGGTGATAACATTGTATCTGGCAAAACTGCATGCCTCATGGGTGGTAGATGATCAAAGAAATGGAGGAGAAGGGTTCTTTCATGTTTTAGCCCAATAGCTTATGGCACTCACCAAGGAATCAGGACACTTGGGTTCTAGATTTCCCTTACCTAGAAAGGGTTTTAGCCTACAGGGATCCTCTGGGTTCTAGCATGAACTTTTGTTCTCAGTGGGAGTGTCTATACAAGACACTTAATGCACATTGGACTAATTCCACTGCACATTAACGTGGCTGGCAAAAACTGTGCTAATGCACAGTAGACAAAAAGTTCATTTGTGCTAATGTGCAGTAGCACCAATTACAGTGCACTAAGTTACATTTAATGCACTGTAATTATAGCACATTAATGAACATGTAGATACACCCAGAGGGGCAGATGCTTCCCTGCTGCTCTACATCCATTTGATCCAGTGAATATTAAATGCGAGGTGCAGTAGCTCTTCAAGAGGAGGGCTGCAGAGGGGCTTGGACTGGATAATCCTTAACCTGTGGCCTGGTGGTTAAAGTATTGTGCTAAAAGGTTACAGAGATGTAGGTTCCCACACAACCTGTGGGAACCTACATCTCTATAACCTCTTATACAGTAGTTTAATCACCAGGCCACAGGTGGTTATTGAACTAAAACATGAGAGGGTCTACTTCCTCATTTTTTCAAGGTCAGAGTTTTGGGACTTACATCCAGCTATGCATGCATGGAGCCATGTATCTATCCAGACAGAGCACAACTTACTGTGCATGCTCAGTAGTCATGTGGACACTTACATGAGTGCCCTAATGGCAGCTATGTGGCTTGGTAACTGCCATGTGGTCATATGAGGTGAAATAGGATTCTGTCCTAAGTGTAAGTGGTATTTAGGTTTTTAAGCATAATCCTATTTCACTCTGCTCAAGTGCCTGCAACACCACTACAGCAAAAATTATATAGGTCTTCTTGGCCGCTTTTTGGGTACATCTACACATGTTATTTGCATGGAGCAATAAATTCTGGCACATATTGTGCCAGAGTT